CTTGGCAACGACGTTGCAAAACAAGCCAATTCACTTCGTGAACTCGGCAACCAGGTTACCTTTTGTTTGTTTTTTACCTCTGTTTTTTTTTGGCGGTAACCATAGCGGTGGTCGAGTAGATCATGTTGTGCGGGGTGGAGAACCCTCACTCCGCGCAAGGGGGATGATCGCACCACGTTGTGTTAAAATGATCAAGCACCCTCGAGGCAGTTACACAGTGCTTACAACTGTCTCGGGAAGTGAAAGCACCAGAAAATAAATCAAGTCATACGCAGCTGTGATCCGTACGCAAGGAAGTACAAGATGCCGAACACCCTTAGCAGGATGCAGCGCACCCTTCATGCGACTCGCCGAATATCTCGCGGCGCTTCGCGCCTGGTGATGTGAGAACCTGGTTCGATGGGAACCCGGTGTGCCCTGTCCCGGCTTTGTAGGGATGCGAAGTCAATGGTCTAACGACTACGGCATGCGCGACTATGAGTACACCCCCTCCCCACTCCAGCCCCCTCATCGGTGAAATCGATCGAGAATCTACGGGATAGTCGCTTGAGCGCCCATGTTTTTTGTTATCTTGTTGGAAGTGGCGACACCGAGAAGTTAGCCTCGCGACATTTTTAGGCCTCGACTCCCCATGTGCACGAGGGTGCCGAGGTCGGTCTCCTAAGGGCGGTTCCGAGTGGGGGATGCGCCCCTCACCCGCCCCCCCCTCCGGTGTGATGCGGACTCGCCGAACACCAACCTCACGGCGCTCCCCTCCCTCCGCGCTTGCTGCTTGCTGTGCGGTGGCCCTTGGTCGCCGAAATCTCCCGGCACTCCCCCCTTACCGTCTTCACGCAGAGCTGCGAGGCGTGCGGTAATTGTAGCACTACGGTATGCCCACTCAAGTCACGAACGTGTCTCCCTCCCACAACGCCCCCCCCCCACAAAGCCCCTCTTTTTTCTCCGTGAATTTGTAATTGTTACGCCGCTCTCTACAGCTCGTCGGGAAGGGGGACGAGCTGCTGAAGAGAGAGCTCGCCGGCGACTCCTCGGCGGAGGTAAAGTGAAGTGTGTGTGTTGCCTGGCCTTGCCTTGCCTGGCCTGGCCTGGCCTGGCCTTGCCTTGCCTTGCCTTGCCTTGCCTTGCCTTGCCTTGCCTTGCCTTGTCTTGCCGTGTCGAACAAAACAGGTTCTCAAACGAGAGGTCGCTGATGCAGCCGTACCCCACCCCCCACCCCCGTGTTATCGTGTCTCACCAATAAAAGGTGCTCAACGAGCGGACGCTGATGCAGCAGTACGCCGCCAACTTCGGGCAGCTCCTAGAGTCCGCCCTCGGCCGTCCCGAGAACGCCAAGCCCTTCGCGGACGCCGGCGGGGACGAGGTCCTCCTGTCCCTCTTCTCGCTCGCGGTGCCTGGACCGAGGGCTCTGTTGGCGCGCGCGTCGTGCGCCGGCGGGGGCGGCGGCGGCGGTACGACGACGTCGTCGTCCTCGTCGTTGTTGTCCTCCTCGCAGCAGCACAGCCTGGCCAACCACGCCGCCTCCCAGGCGCTGACGAGCGCGATGAAGGCCCTCGGCACGCACGACACGGCGCGGCTGCTGAAGCGTGTCCTGGTGGCGCTGGACAGGGAGCTGGACAGGCTGGACGCCGCCAGGAAGGCGGTCATGGAAGCGGGGGTGAGAGACGGAGTGAGGTTGTTTGGTTCGACCCCCCACCCCACCCCACCCCACCCCACCCCACCCCCTCGGCTAATCGTTTTTTGCCTCCTTTGTAGGAATATAACCTTTTTTAATGGTATAATATGTTTTCCCGACCCCCCGTTGTACAAGAGGGAAAGGAAAGTGTCCGTGATAGAGCTGGGAAAATAGATAGGACGTACAGGGAGATGTTTGAGGCATGGAATAGAGAGGAAAGGACGTTAGCTGTACTGGGGCACAGGAGGTGGGTTGAAAAGGCGGGAAGGGATATCGTCAGGATAGACAGACTAGGGAAGACGTTTTTGAGCCACCTTTGGCAAAGTAGAAAGGAACGATTGGCCATCGGTGATCGGTCCTGTGGGAACAATGCCCCGTCCTCTCGAGGACGCGTGGTCAATGGTCTAACCGCTAAGGCATGCAAAACATAAGAGTACGCCCGCCCCCCGCCCCCTCTCTTTGTTCTCGATGAACCCTTTTCTTGATCCTTTTTGGCCACCGCATGTCCGTGTTGCTACTGCCTCCCCTCCTCCGGAAGGGTATGTCCGCGGCCGTGGCATCCGCTTCAGGGTCCTCCGGCGGCGGTGGCGGCGGCGATGCCATGGACGTCGACAGCGAAGCATCGCCGGCCGCCGCAAAATCGCCTAGCAAGAAGTCCGTGGCCAAGGCCAACAAAGGCAAGGGCAAGAACAGGGCGGCCTCTACAAGAGCGGTGGCGGCTGCTGCTGCTGCTGCGGCAGCTTCAGCGGACGGAGGCGATGGCGACTCCGACGTGGACATGTCCGGCGCCGTAGAAGGGAAGGGGCCCCCGGCGGCGGGGAACGGCAGGGCCGCCGCCGCCGCCGACAGCAGCAGCAGCAGCAGCGAGTTGGACATGTTGGGGGTGCTGGAGTGCATCCCGCGGGAGCCGGTGTACGTGGCGTGGCCGGTGTTACCGGCGGAGGAGGACGAGACGGCGGACAGCGGCGGCGGCGGCGGCGGTGAGACGAGGACTAAGGGTCATTCTTCCTCGTCGTCGGGTCCCCGGTCGGCGGCGCCAACCGAGCTCCCGCCCCTGCTGAAGGCCATGTCGGGACTCCTCCGCTGCCTGACGGCCACCGAGTGGCTGGCGGGCGCGCTGACGCTGCTGACGCGGTGGGCGCACTCCCGCGGGGCGCAGACGGCGGCGGGGCAGCAGGCGGCGAGCCGGTGGGGGGCGATCCTCGTGTCCGGGAGCGGCCGCAGGGTCCTCGAGCGGCTCATGAGGCTCCACCGAAACGTTCTCGTGGAGGTGAGCGGGGCAAGTCGAGCTCGTCGGAGTATGCGTCAAAGTGTTGTCGTAGGCTCCTCGCAGATTTAGTGTTGTCGTAGGCTACTCACGGTTTTATCAGTGGTTATCGTTGGCTTCTGGTAGTTATAGTGTTGTCGTAGGCTTCTCACGGTTTTATCAGTGGTTGCCGTTGGCTTCTGGTAGTTTTAGTGTTGTTGGCTTCTGGTGGTTTTTGCTCGGCATAGGGGGG